CACACACACACACACACACACACACACACACACACACACACACAGTATTTCAGCTTCTCTTAGAAAACAGAGAGGCAATAAATTCTAGGGCCACAATTCCTCAGAGCAACTGCTGGGTGGCGCTGGGTGTGGCTCCTCCCCCTCCGGGGGCTGGGCTGGATCCGGCCTGGTGAGATCCTCTGGTACTGCGGTGGATGCCAGTTGCCAGCTCTCATCATTTCCACACTGCTCTTCTCTTATAGAGTGGTGAGGAGGAGAATTAACTATTGCTCGATCCGTATTGCTATCAAGATTGGTTCTTATACTTCTACTGCCCTCCGGGCCCCTGCTGGCATTTGCATCGTGTCTTGGGATTAGTGAGCCGAGTTACCACGGCTAGAAATTATGGAGTGAACAGGAGGCCTTCACAACTAAGACTTCTTTGTTGAATTGCCTCTTATACTCTGGGGGGAGTCACTGCTGTGGGCTGCCACAGCCACACGTATGAAAGTCTCAGACGAGCCAGCACTCTGGTTACCTGGCACCTGTAACACACAGGACCGTCAGGAAGACCCAGATGACTCAGAGATAGCCCATCCAAAGGATGCTTTGCAAATGGCTCTCTGGTTCATCTAGCCGTGCCCCCAGCACCAGGGAAAGACCCTCTGGAAACTCCAACTCCCTCCAACCCTGGCCCTGAACATACGGTCCTCCACTGCAGAGGACGGTGCAGTCCTGCCTTCTGGGGGCACACCACGCAGGAGTCACACAATCTGCCCAGCAGAACGAGAAAAGGTACAAGCGGGGGTGGGGGTGTGCAGCATCTATAGGCACAGCACCAACTTTGTTGGTGTTAGGGGCCACCTAGCCAATTCCGACGCACAGTGACATGATGCACAACAGAACCAAACGCTGCCTGGCCCCGCGCCATCCTCACAATTGTTCCTAGGCTGGAGGCCACTGCTGCAGCCATGGTGTCCATGCATCTCCTGGAGGACCTTCCTCTATTTCTCTGCCCCTCCCCTTTACCACCATACCGCAGGCTCATGACGCCTTAAGTCCTGCTCAGCTCCCTGCTACCTCTGCTTGCAGCTGCAGACTAGAAGTCACCAAGTGACACCCCAGAAGAGCCTTGTAGTCAACGTACCCTCCAAATCAAATGTGTCCCGCCTCGTCTCCCCACCCAAGCACCTTGCTCGTTCCATGTTCCCCGTTCATGTGCTCATTCAGTAAACACTCATTCAACATCTACGGTGAGCAGGGCAAGGCCTTCACCGTGGGGCAGGGGTGCGGGGAGTGTTTCCCCAGAGAACCCAGGCCAAACTCCCGTTCTACTGCCCCGAGCGGCAATCACCAGAGGCCACGCAAGCTGGGGGCTTCATCGGAAGACACCTTCTTCTTCATTCGCTTCCATGTTCTGGCTTTAGATACTCAACCAAGGCTTGTTAGTTTCAACTCCAAATGTTTCTCCAAATGCAGGCCCACATCCTGGCCAAGGCCACAGTGGGGTGGCCCCTACCATGCTGCCTATAATCTCTTCTGATCACCAGTTCCTCTTTCTCTGCCCTCTTCCTGTGACTTTCCCGCTAATAAACTGCCACCAGGCACTGGGGGAGTCAATGCCAACTCATGGTGGCCCCATTTTATTTTTATAATTTAGATCACGCACTAGAATTTTCCAGAGCCCTAACGGATGTTCTCAAGGAGAAATGGTGGTGAAGTGCGGCTTGGGGCTGAGCTGCACAAGGGCAGCAACTAGACACCACCAGCTGCATGTAAGAGCCCCCAATCAAAGCTGGTTTTTTTTAAATCACCAGCCGCTCCGAGGCAGAAAGACCGGGCTTTCCATTCCCACAGAGTCACAGTCTTAGAAACTCACAGGGGCAGTTCTACCCAGTCCTACAGCATGAACAGGCATGGATTCAATGGCAGTGAGTTTGGCTTGGGTTCCTGGATGCCCTCGGGTGGGTGCCAGGCCTTGGCCTTTACAAGGGGCTGTTTTCTCCAGTCTGCTCTATAATTCCTATCGGAGCAGAGCTCTGTGTCCTCACGGCTGGTTTCTCAGAAGGAAATGGCCAGGCCTTTCTTCCAAGGGGCCGGAGCAGACTCGCGCCTCTCGCCTTTTGGTTAGCAGCCGAGCATGCTAGTGATGTTTGCACACCCAGGGACTGTGAAACAGGCCGCACCCCGTCTCTAAAGGCTAATGTGACGCTCCAGACCTTTTTTACAGGAGCCCAACTCTTCTTGGCAGTCACCCCTCTTGCCACTGCCCCGCCCAAAGTACGTCAACCTGGCTACACATGGGACACATCTCTGGAAGTGCCCTACGACCGCTCATGACCTCATGCCTCTGTTTACACGGCCCTCCTTTGTCTGAGACGCCAATTCTCTTCTGTCTGCTTGGGAAGACTTCATCTCAAAGACCTGCCAGCTTCGGCTTTCTCTGTGAGGCTCTGAAGAGAGCGCCCCCCCTTCCTCCGCTGAGGCTGTCTGCAGGGTGTTGCACAGGCCCGCTGCTCTGCTGAGCCCCAGCGAGCCCCCTGCTGCTCACTGACTTCCGTAATCTCAGAGCAGAGCTGCTGTGACTCGGAGTGGGCACTCACTGAAGCGCCCGGTGGAGGAGGAGGCAGAAGGAAGTCCCACGACAGCCAAGTCTCATCCCACGCCGCCACCTCCGCCCCGAGTGACGCCACAGGGTGAGGGTTTCAATCTCCCGTGTCTGCATGAGCCAGACAAGGACCACAGAGAGGAGCCACGTGGCCAGACAGCCGCTCAGTTAGCGTGGAGATACTGCCTTCGCTGCTTGGAGGGTCTCTGAAGGGGGCCTACCTTTCAGCTTCGTCTTGTGAAACAGACCAATACACAGAAAGCCCTTTCCTGCCCACCCCCCCCACCCCACCCCCACCGCCGTGCACATGCAATGCCAGGTGCACTCACTCTGACTTGGTGTCTCTGCGAGGTGGCAAGAGATGGGAACTGGCTGGGGCACAGCTAACTCCGGCCAACAGGCACCAGGAGAGGCTGCAGGCTCGTACCTGCCAGAACTTGGTTTTCACAAGGGAAGTGGGAAGCCTAAATTTTTGTGCAAAAGCTTGAGTCTTGAAAATCCTGGCTTGAATTTATTTTTAACTGTGTACATGCCAAAATGGACCCGCACAACGTAGGCTTGTGATCTCTGCTTTCAAGGGCCTTGGGCATGCAAGCAGCCCAGCAATCGAGAAGCAGCTCCCTCCTCTGGCCCAAAATGAAACCAGCAATTAGAACTTCCACCAAGCAGCGTAAGGTGAGACCTGAGGAGGATTACTGGGCATCTCCTTTCAGGCTGTAATTCAGGCTCTTGGGGACTGATTGCCCTGGTGGTGCTGTTGGGTAAACACTGAGCCACTGACCCCAAGGTTGGCAGTTCACACTCACCAGCTGCCCCTTAAGATGAGGCTGCCTGCTTTCATAAAGATCTATAGCCTCAGAAATCCTAAGTAGGGTCGCTCTCAATCAGAATCGACTTGCTGGCAGTGGGGTTTTGGAACGAATTACTGGTACCCACAAACTTTCCCATGTCCCCATTGACCCTTCAGGACTATCTTTCTTACCCCCATTTCCCTGGCATCTAGTGCAGCTGGTCTACCACGTGCGGCTTCTCCATTCTCACACTACTGAAGTCTGTAGTCCTGGGCCCAAGACCAAGCTGGCCAATAACTAACTGCTGGTCTCCCCACCGTTCTCTGTACCGTCACTTTGTTAGTCCTGTGTAAGTAAGACTACCAGGTTTGAAATGGCAAGTTTGATTATGAAAGTAATCTAAATGCCAAGATTTACAATTCCTTATGAACTGCGATCGCATACCCAACGGGAAACCTCACGAGAACAGAGAAGTCAGTCAAAAGAACGTGGCTTCAGAACTGAGCACTGCTGCCATTCTGTAAAACCAAGGGAAAGCCATCTGTTTCTCAGCTCGGCGTGTTCCGGTGCCCAACGGGGGCTGCCATGCCTCTCCGTTGGCCCGGGCACTCATGGCGGAGGTTGGAGGAGCATTCAGGACCCCACCCCGCCCCACCCGCGAGCGTGGCTCACCAGTTCTTCCCGCAGCTTTCCTAGGGTCTCGATCTGGTTATTCCGCGTGCTCAGCACGCCCGAGAGCTTCTCCATGAGGATGTCGTATTTGCTCCTCCTGTGGGAAACACAAAGCAGGACCCCTTTCTCTAAGACACTGGGATGCTACAGCCACCTGCTGCTTGGGTTTCTACGAGCTTTCGGAGCACAGCGCAAAGGTAACACGTGCATGCGTCGGTATGCACTCACCTGTCCACGTGGAAGCGGTTCAGGAGCAGGAGGATCGAGTGCTGCTGGGCCCCAGTGGGCAAGCGGATCACGTGTGACTGCATCGTAATGAGCCCGTTCTTGTTCAGGATTTTCCTGTGATAGTGCAGCTTCCCAGCGTCGACCCTGGGCCAGGAAAGGTGCATGTATCACGACACTGGGCTGATGGCCTCCATCCCAGAGTACGACATCTCTCCCTTGGATGCAAACACCAGGGAGACACATACCTCTTATCTAACCAACCCAAGAGTCCCATCCCTGGGAAACAATGGACCGATGGACACCAAAAGAAAAGCCCAGGGCTCAGCCCAGGGTCTCCCAGGATGGGAAGATGGGTGATGGGGACCAGAGGCAAGGGCAGGCACAGGGAGGAAGGGTTGGCTGGGTGGGTGGCAATGTTATAGGTTGATGAGGTTGATCAAACCTGAATCTGTAGTGGCCAATAACTAGGGTGGCCAGACCTCTCAGTTTCCCTGGGAGGGCTGCAATTCATGGGAATTCAGGGATACCAGGCTTTGGTATTCCTTGTGGCCTGCTCCACCTCCCCCTCTCAGAGCTATTGTGGTTTGTGGAGAGACTGAACGGTCATCGAAAGGGCTCTTCATAAAGAAAGCCCCAGTGCAGGGCTGAGAAGGTCACAGGGACAGGCCAGGGGCCCCGTTTGTGGAGTGCAGGGCAGGCACGCCCCTGTAACTGGTGCAGGGCAGGAAGTCCACCCTCCTTACTTGAACGCGGTGCTGTGAAGGTCTCGCTGGAGCTCTCCTTCCCACCTGGACCTGCCCAACCGCTCCAAAATGCAATAGGAGAAGTCAGGGAGCTTCAGGTCAGGGTCCCCCTCGGCGCCGATCAGGGCCCGGTACCGCATGTCCTGGGAAGCGACGATGATCAGTTTCTTTCCCCACCTGCACATCAGAACCAACCACGGGAAGACATCTGTTTAATCGATTTGGAGACAGATAATGAAGCTATGTTTTCAGCTCTATCTTACAGAAGAATTCTTTTTTTTTTAATCGTTTCATTAGGGCCTCATACAACTCTTATCACAATCCATACAGATATCAATTGTGTAAAGCACATTTGTACATTCATTGCCCTCGTCATTCTCAAAACATTTGCTCTCCACTTAAGCCCCGGCATCAGGTCCTCATATTTTCCCTTCCCTCCCCGCTCCCAACTCCCTCATGAGCCCTTGATAATTTATAAATTATTATTTTGTCATAGCTTTCCCTGTCCGACAAGAGAAGTTCACATCGTCCCCCAATGAAGCAGGTCTTCAGGGTCTTGGAGCTGCTCCGCATCGCTCATTAGTGCCGTGCGGGAAGCCAACCAGCGTTTTTTGGAAGTGGGTGCCGTCGGTATGACAGTGGGTGGTTCATGCAACCGCCCAGGACTATCTGCTCACGCAACACCGGGCACCAAGCAGAAAGCAGCAGAACCACCCGGTCAGAACTATCATGGTGACTCCACGGTAAGGGCAGCACAGCTTCCACGCTCGACATGCACATGGAAAGAGGCGGCAGCCCACATTCCCAAAGAAGAATACCGGTTCCTGGGGTCTGGAGGAAGTCGAGCAGTCTTTATTCACAAATGAGTGTGTGTGTGTGTGTGTGTGTGTGTCTGGGCCACCCGAAAGACAGATACACCGGGACCTCTGAGCTCACACAGGGCAGAGAAGCAGCAGGCTGTAACCTCCGGCAGCTCCGTGGAACTAAAGACCTTGAGACATATAATAGACACCTAAGGACGGGCAGGAGAAGCCAGGAAGGGCTATTTTGGGAAAGTAGGGCATGCAACCACTGGAGCCGTGGTGGAACAGAAGATTACATGTGGGGCTGCAAACCGCAAAGCCAGCAGTTTAAAACCACCAGCTGCTTTAAGAGAGAAAGACGTGGCTCTCTGCGCCCTTAAAGACGTACAGTCTCAGAATCCCACAGGACACTTCTACCCCATCCGAAGGGTCACTAGCAGTTGGAATTGACTCGATGGCAGTTGAGGATGAGACCCTGAGTTTTGAGGGCATCCAAAAGCATGAGTATAGTCACTTACATGCTCAAAACTGAAGACTGCGCTTTCCAGTAAGACTGATCCCTTGGCTCAGTGCAAGTCCAGCCAAGTGTTGAGGGAATAGCCCAGCACAGAGCCAATCCGAAAAGAGTGGGAAAGGCATTGCTGTTTCCTCCCCTGGGGTTGGTGGCAATCTCTATCAAAACACTGCTAAAGACAGACATCTAAGAGACAGAGATTTCGATGACCACAACCAACCAGGGAGACGGTGATCGCAAAGCAGGCAGGGGAAGCCACCAAGCCAATGACTGCTATAAAAGCTGTAACTCTGAAAACAACACAGCCCCCAAAAGTGGAAGGCAAAGGGAGAATCTGATGTCTAGAGTTATTATAATATTTAAATGTCTAGCTTTCAGCAACAACCAACAAATTCAAAGCATACAGAGACAGGAAAGAAAGAATTCAGTCGGACAAAGTAAGCAACTGAAGTGATCCCTGAGGAAACCCAAAATGGATGAACTCAACCAAGATTTTAAAATACCACTCAATATATTTGGAGAACTAAAGAAAGCACAGACAAAGGATAAAAACAAACCCGGAAAAAGAATCATAATGAGATACCACTTACTGTCACTGCCAGTTGATGCCGGCATATAGCGACCGTACCGGACAGGCTATTCGTGCCCCTGTGAGTTTCCAAGAATGCTACTAGAGAGATAGAAATTATATAGAAAAGACCAAAATAGCCTCCACTCAAGTGCTCCCTCAACACAAGAACACTTTGTTCTAATAAGCTGGCATTCTGAGATGCTCGCCAAGACAAACATGTGCATAACCAAATGTGGCGAAGAAAGCTGATGGTGCCCGGCTATCAAAAGATATAGTGTCTGGGGTCTCAAAAGCTTGACGATAAACAAGCGGCCATCTGGCTGAGAAGCAACAAAGCCCACGTGAAAGAAGCAAACCAGCCTGTGTGATCACGAGGTGTCGATGGGATCAGGTATCAGGCATCTAAGACCCAGAACAAAAAATCATGTCAATGTGAATGGGGGCGGGGGGAGGTGGAGTGTGGAGTGGAGGCCCAAAACCAATCTGTAGGCAACTGGACATCCCCCTACAGAAGGGTCGTGGGGAGAAGACAGACCAGTCAGGGTGCAGTACAGCACTGAAGAAACATACAACTTTCCTCTACTTCTTTAATACTTCCTCACCCCCACTATTATGACCCCAATTCTACCTTACAAATCTGGCTATACCAGAGCATGTACATTGGTGCAGATAAGAACTGGAAACACAGGGAATCCAGGACAGATAAACTCCCCGGGACCAATATTGAGAGTAGCCATACCAGGAGGGTAAGGGGAAGGTGGGGAGAGAAAGGTAGAACCGATCACAATGATCTACATATAACCCCCTCCCGGGGGGATGGACAGTGGATAAGGGGGTAAAGGGAGACATTGGACTAGTGCAAGACATGGAAAAAAATAATAATAATTTATAAATTATCAAGGGTTCATAAGGGAGGGAGTGGAGGGACGGGGAGGGAGGGGTAAAAATGAGGAGCTGATACCAAGGGCTCAAGTAGGAAGAAAACGTTTTGAAAATGAGGATGGCAACAAGTGTACAAATGTGCTTGACACAATGGCTGCATGTATGGATTGTGATAAGAGTTGTACAAGCCCCCAATAAAACGATTAAAAAAAAAAAGCTTGGGACACCTTTAGGTGGGCCAGCACCCACATTATAGAAGTCCAAGAAGAGATGGTAGGAGGCAGGAAAAAATATTTGAACAACCAATGGCTCCGTGAAGAGGAACGCAGTATCAGTATCGGAGGGAGGCCATTATCAACCCTCGCCATGCAGACGACACAACCTTGCATGCTGACAGCATGGGCTCGAAGCACATACTGAGATCAAGGACATGGCCTACGATTCTGATTCATTATAAAGAAACCCCAAATCCTCGAAACGATACCAATGGACAACACAGTGGTAAACGGAGTTGCCAAGGATCTCACTTTGCTTGGATCCACAAAGAGAGCTCGTGGAAGCAGCAGCCAAGAAATCGGAGGGTGCACAGCATGGGCAAATCGGCTGCGCAAGGCCTCTTTAAAATGTTGAAGGGCGGGAGTCTTTGAGGACAAGGCTCACTTGACCCAAGCAGTGGCATTCTCAATCGCCTCACATGCGGTGTGAAAGCGGAGATGGAATGTGAAGACCACATTTGAATTGATGCATCTGAACGATGGTGTCGGAGAAGAATACAGAAAATGCTATGGACTTCCAGAAGAACAGACAGACCTGTGTGTTTGAAGAGGGACACCCAAAATGGTCCTTTGAAGTGAAGTTGGGGAGGGTAAAAACACATGTAAGACACACAGAACAGTGCAAAATGGCGAAGACTTATTCACAAGTCCCTTAAATGTAAATGGATTAAATCTCCAATAAGAAGGCAGAGGTTAGCAGAACAGATTTTTAAAAAATACAACAAAAACGTTAATCAGGCACTGTCACCAGGAGACTCACTGTAGATCAAAATACACAAGCAGGTTGGGAGTGAAATATAGAACGAAGCAGTCTGGCAAACAGTAACCAAAAGAATTTGTTGGTGCAACTATATTACTGCCAGGTACAAAAAGAACAAGTAGAAAATTGTTACAGGACCCAAAGAAGAGCGTTACACAGTAACAAGGGGTCCACTCAAGAAGATGTAAGGTAACTGTGAACTCACACCCAAATCTCGTTCACGCGAGTCAGAGAGCCTGGAGGGCAGAGGAAACTGCCCTGCACAGTTTCCGAGGCTGGTGTGGAAACAGACTGCCACGGCTTTTTCCTGTGGAACAGCCGGTGGCCTCTAACCACTGACCTTTGTCAGCAGGCAAGCACGGTGTCACCAGGGCTCCTCTACTGCGCCTGTCCCATGGAATCGGTTCCGACCCAGCGGGACTCCGAGAACAGCAGAAGGAAATGCTGCCCCGACATGCACCGTCCTCGCGTGGTTAGTTTGGGGCCCATTACTGCAGCTACGGTGTCAACTCATCCATTTCAACTCTACCTACACCTAATAACTGAGTCCCAAAATATATGGAGCAAGCACGGACCCAATCCAAGAAATAATTAAATAACTTGGCAATAATAGTTGGAGACTTCAATATACCACTTTAAATAATGGAAAGGCTATCTACATAGAAGATCAATATGGAAATAGAGGATTTGAACAGCACTATAAACTAACTTTTAATTATAGGAAAGTTGGAAGACAGCTACCTGGCCAAGTGACGGCCACAGAAAGGTATAACTGCGCGAGCATTTTAAGAAAAGTAATCCGACAATGGAATGCAGAAATGATTGAACAATATCATTAACATCGAAGCCTGGTGGTGTAGTGGTTACGAACTGGGCTAACTGCAGGGTCAATAATTTGAAACCATCACCTGCTCCGTGGGAGAAAGACAGGGCTTTCTATTTCCATAGACAGCTACAAGGAGCCTTGGTGGTGCAGTGCTTAGGCTTGGAGGCTGCTAACTGCAAGGTCAGCAGTTCAAAACCTACACTTGCTCCGAGGGAGAAAAACGGGGCTTTCGACTCCAATATACAGCTACAGTCTAAAGCTCACAGGGGCAGTTCTGCCCTGCCCTATACGGCTGGTATGAGACAGCATTGAGTCAATGGCAGTGGTTTTGGTTTCACTAATATCATATGCACGTAAACCTTTGAAGACAATTCAAAAACAGATGCAGCAGTACATTGATCATGAACTTCCAGAAAGTCAAGTCAGGTTCAGAGGAGGGCACCGGTTAAGGAATATCACGGATGTCAGACCAACCTTAGCCAAAACCAAGGAATACCAGAATGTTTACCTGCGTTTTATCGACTACACAAAAACATTTGACGGCTGAATCCCAACAAACGATGGGTAACATGGAGAGACTGGGAACTCCAGTACATTTACCTGTGCTCATGCAGAACATGTACAAAGTGCAAGAGGTGGAAATTCAAACAAAACAAAGGGCTAATGTGTAAAGTTTCACATCAGACTCACATCCTCTTACCCTTATATTTATTCAATCTGTGTACTGAACAAATCACCTGAGAAGCTGGACTGTATAAACAACGGTGCGCCAGGATTGGAGGAACACGCTTTGTTGTTCCACGGCACCTGGCAACGAGCGTTCCTCCAATCCTGGTCCACATTCTTTAGACAGTCCAGCTTCTCAATGTGTTCAGCATACAGACTGAATAGACAGGGTAAAAGGATGTGAGCCTGACATGAAACTTGATTTTAAATCACACAACATCCCCTTGTTTTGTTTGAATAGCTACCTCTTGGACAATATAAAGGGATTGGAGGAACACTCTTACAACCTGAGATATGCAGGTGCCATACCTTTGCTTGCTGAAGGAGTAGAGGACTCGAAACACTTACTGATGAAGGCCAGAGACTAGTGCTCAGTATGGATTACTCAGAAGGTCACCTGAAGTCTAAATGTCTACGGTATGCCACGTTGGGCAATTTATGATCTAGGTCCAGGGTTGCAACTTCAAACTCAAGAATTAGAATTGTAGTGGGCTGGGAAGTGAAGGGATGGTGAAGAGACAGAGAGTGAACGTAGTCATTTCTCACGCGCGAAGCATGGCTGCATAGCTATAGTTATAAGGACACCAGGTCAAGAGAAGGTCTTGTTAAATTCTGTGAGTCCCGCTCGCGCGCTGAGAAGAACGTACCAATAGGCTGGGAAAAGTAGAGAACGATGGGGAGAGGTAGGCTAGCCTTCAGAAGTGACGAAGAAGGAGATGGGGAAGAAACACACAAAAATGCTCTTTATCACCATTCTTATTCACTATCGTGCTGGAAGTCTTAGCCAGAGCTACTAGCCAACAAAAAGAAACCAAAGGCATGCAAATTGACAAAGAAATAGAACACTCTTTATTTTCAGATGGTATAATTCTTTGTGTAATAAACACCAAAAATTCAACAAGAAAAATTGTTGGAAATAATTGAAATCTTTGGCAATGTAGTAAGGTACAAGATCAACATAAAAAAAAAAATGAATTGGATTCTTGTACACTAAGAGCTCTTTAAAGGAAACCAATATAATTTACAATAGCCATACAAAAGATGAAATACTTAAGGATAAACCTAACCAGAGAATGAAAGACTTGTATAAAGAAAACTACAAACCATTACTAAAAGAAACCAAGAGAGAGCTTCATAAATAGAAGAATACTCCAAGTTCGTGGATAGGAAGATATAACACTGTGAACATGTCAATACGACACAAAGCAATCTATAAATGTATTGCAATCTATAAATGTATTGCAATTCTGATCCAGATTTCAGAATCGTTCTTGGATGAAATGGAGGAACTACTCATTGAGTATATGGAAAAAGAGCCAGGCTAAGGAAAGTAAACATGACTTAAAAAGAGCTAAGTAGAAACCTCTCATTTCCCAACCTCAAAACCCCAGCAGTGAAGACAGGTTGGTACTGGTACAATGATAGCTATATAGACCAATGGACCAGAACAGAGAACCCAAAGTAAATCCGTCCACCCACAAAGGGTCAAAATACAGTAAATGGGAAAGGGAGTTTTTCAACAAACCGTGCTGGCAAAATTGGATTTCCATGTGTAGAAGAATAAAATAGGACCCATACCTCACTCTCTCTATAAAAACAAACTCAAGAGGGATTGAAGAACTAAAATGTATATCCTAGGGAAAACAGGGGCAAACTCGAGGGCCTTAAGACACAGCATAAACACAGTGCCAAACACAATGAAAAATACACACGCAGAAGTCAAAATAGTTAACTAGGACCTCCTCAAAATAAGTCACTTTATATGCATCCAAAGACGTCATTAAGAGTACAAAGAAAACGCACTGACTGGGAAAAACAAATCGGCAATGATATGCCAGACAGGGGATAATCTCTAAAATTTATAAAAAGCACACAAGGAAAAGAGGAATAAGCCAATTAAAAAATTGGCAGAGAACATGAACACACAGTTTACCAAAGAAGAAATCCAGGTAACTAACAGACCTGAAGAAATGCTCGTGATCACTAGTCCTCTGAGAGATGACACAAATCAGAACAATGATGCGGTACCGCCTCACGCTGGTACTGAGAGCAACATTCTACAAAACAGAACCATGAATGCTAGAGAGGGTGCGGCGAGATGGGAACCCACCTCCATACACTGCTGGGGGCACTGTAAAACTGCCATCCCTGTGGAAAGCGGCATGGCACCTCCTCAGACAACCGAGGAGGAAATGCCGTTTGACAAAGCAATCCCTCGACTTGGTATGGATCCTAGAGAATTCAGAGCCGTCGCACGGATACATACCACGTATATCGCAGCACAGTTCACAATAGCGTGAAGAGGGAAAGAACCTCAATGCCGTCAGTGTTAAGAATGGTCAATACGCTCTGGCACACACACAAAAAGGAACACTACACCTTGTTACGAAGTAACGCTCTTTATCGCCTTTCTTATTCACTATTGTGACATTCCTCACAATATGGGTGGATTTGGAAGGCATTATACTGAGTGATGTGAGTCAATCACAAAAGGTCAAATATTAAATGCGGACATTGTTACAAAAAGAAAAAAATCAAGACAAAGGATTTCCCTGCCATAAGAAACAGACTTTGCTGGTTCCTTGGAGTGAGAGGGAAGGGAAAGCATTAGGCTGGAGGGCAGACCGGTGTCTAGGTCAAGGGCAAGATACCACTCTACCGGAGTAAGAAATAACAGAGAAGAAAGTGGGGAAGTTGGGAGAGGGTGGGATCGGGCAAGTTATTGGGGGGGTTTGATAAGTTGTTTAAATTGCTGAATAAAAAAATGATCTGAAAAAGCCCCACCTAATTCACAATACTCACTGTCATTAAGTCGATTCTGACTCACAACAAACCTATAGGACGGGGTAGAACAGCCCCAGTGGATTTCTGAGACTATACATCGTCATGGGAACAGAAAGCCTCATCTTTCTCCAGAGGAGCAGCTGGTAGTCTTGAACTGTTCACCTTGCCGTTAGCAGCCCAACACATAGCCCAGTACCCCACCAGGGTGTGAAAATACGGAAAAGTCGGCTAGCTGAGGAAGAACGTGGACATTAGGGGAGGTGACAACTGGTCACTTCTCTCTACAGAAGCATGCGTGACACAAGAAGCTTGCAACTGGCCGCTAAACCAAAGTGTGTCAGTTCAAATCTACCCAGTGGCTCTGTAGTAAAAAGACCCGGTGACCTGCTCCTATAGAGATCACAGGCAAGAACATCCTATGGAGCAGTTCGAGTTCGACTCTGTAACACACGGAGTCGTCCTGAGTTGAGCTGACCACAGCAGCGGCTTCTCAGGAACACCAGCTGGAAGGAAATGAGGGTGGGGCTGAGGGCAAAGGAGATGGCGCCAGAGAAGTGACTCCCCCCACCTCAAGCATCCCACACACTGGAAGGTTCTCCAGAGGAGGGGAGGTGGCACAGGAAGAGAAGGGCGCAGTTCGGTGGCTGATGCAATCCGACCAACATCGAGGCTGTGGGCCAGATGCAGCAATGACCACCACCCAGACTTCAAAAGCCAGAAAAGCCCTGAGTCCCCACCCGGGGTGAATCTGTTACCTGCCGAAGGCTTCCACCATCGTACAGTGAGGCTGCAACGACTTGGTCCGGATTTCATTGGTAATGTTTTTCCTCTCCTTGAAGTATCGGCAGGAGCCCTGGATGCCATCCTTGTCCTCTAAAATCATATGAATGGGGTAGACGTCCTCTAAAGGGACCGGGTCCCTCTTGGACTCCAGAATTCCGGTTTCTAAGTCAATTTCTTCATACCTAGAGAGGAAAACAAACACAAGACCACCACTCAGCTTCAGAGACAGGGCTCGCAGGGCCTCCAGCACAGAAAGGGGAAGTAAGCAGACCACTGGGGCTGACTGCTTTCCAAATGAAGAACCTTGACAGACGGGCTCCTGCAATGCTATCCCAGATGATGCAGACCTTCCCGGGACACCCCCCCACCAAAAAAAAAACTCACCCCAGAAGCTGGATACTGGGACGAATGCTCTTACAAAAACTTCAAAGCCCAGCCCATTGCTATTGACCCCACAGCAACCCTATATGACAGGGCGGAGTTGTTCACCGAGGTCTCCAAGATGGTAAATCTTTAAGGGAGAAGACAGCCTCACCTTTCTCTCAGGGAGTGCCTGGTAGACTTGAATAGCTGAACTTGTGGTTGGCAGTTCAACGCTTAATCCAGTATGCTACCAGGCCTCGTCAGTCATCCTGGTGACCCCAAATCACAGCCCTTTTAGTTTGCTTCTGGGTTAAATGATGCCCCTCTCTCCACCAACCTCAAATTATGCATTGTAAATCCTAGCCTCTATGAGTGGCTTTGGATTGCTAACCTCAAGGTTAGCAGTTCGGAACCACCAGCTGCACTTGGGTTGGGGGCTGAGTGGTGTGTGTGTGTGTGTGTGTGTGTGTGTGTGTGTGTGTGTATTGCGCATGAGGCTTTCTTCGGTCTCTAGGAAACCCAGGTGGGTCAGTCCTACCCTGCCCTATAGGGTCACCATGAGTTAGAATTGACTCATGGCAGCAGTTTGGTTTTTTTAAAACACGCTTAACTATAATCCCATTTGAGAATGCGCTTTCTTTGTCATATTAATGAGGCGATTAGTGTAGAGTGCATCTTAAGTTTTAAATTGTTTGTGATTCAAACCCAATCCAGGGATACATATGGCAACCAACTAAAATGGAGGGGAAAAGAAAGAAAGAAAAAAGACATCCATAATAATCATTTATAAATTATCAAAGGTTCATGAGGCAGGGGGGAGCAGGGAAGGAGGGGGAAAAATGAGGAGCTGATGCCAGGGGCTTAAGTGGAGAGCAAATGTTTTGAGAATGATGAAGGCAATGAATGTACAAATGTGCTTTACACAATTGATATATGTATGGATTGTGATAAGAGTTATATGAGCCCCTAATAAAATGATTTAAAAATAAAGAAAGAAAGACATGAGTATTGGGGAAACTAGGCACTAACTCACCCAATGGGAGAGTGTGGTTTACATCTCCACAGAAGAGGGAAAGAGGGACCAGACTTCACCTGGTGTGCCAAGACGTGAATGCAACACACCGGCAAGAAGCAGGGAATCAACAGAGAGGTCGGCGGGGACGGCCCAATCCCAAATATGTGGACACCACCTCTCCCCCAAGAATAATTCACTTCAGAGGTCAGCACTGAAGCTAAAGCTCAGGGAGAGGGGCACTTCTTATCAGAGCACATTGGAGCAAACAAAGAGGAAGGGAGTGAGAGCGGAGCACATCCTGGCCCACCAAGCCCCGAGGATGATATTCCTGCTCAGAGCAGCCAATGCACAGAGAGGACCATAGGGCCGGCCCTGCCATGAGACATGACGACCCTCACTGACCCACAGTGCCTCCAGGAACAACACTGGAGACACAGTGTAGAAATTGTGCCCGCCACACTGACCTCACCACACTGGAGCGAAACGCTAAGGGCATGCAACAGAGCAACAAAGGGTGCAAAGCAATGAACTTCCCAGGGAATACCAAAAACAGACTTTGGGGCCAGGGCGTGGAACCCCGTCAGACTAGACCAGAAAACACTCCTAAAGGTCCACAAACAGACCTGAAACCTTTTATAGGCCTTTCTTTTTTTTTGGTTATGTTTTTGTTGTTTTGTTTTCGTTGTTGTTTGATTTTGCTCTCTCTTGATTTTGTGCTTATGATTGTCTCTGCATGTCTATCTAGATAAGATAGGCGGGATAAACAATCCAGAGGAGAAAACTATGGGACCGATGGTTCTAGGGGGGACACGGGAGACGGGGAGGTAGGGGAAAGGAAGAGGGTATTAGCAAACCCAGGGACAAAGGAACAGCAAGTGGTCTAAAATTGATGGCGAGGAGGGCATAGGATGCCCGGTGGGGCTTGATCAAGGGCAATGCTACTGACTGAGAAGAATTACTGACACCCGAATGAAGGCCAAACAGGATACTGGGACAAGAGGAAAATAAAAGGAAACAGAAGAAAGAACTTAGAAAGCAAAGGGCACTTACAGAAGTCTACATACAGGCAAGTACATATGTAAATATATTTACATATAATGATGGCAAAATAGATTTATGTACATATATTTATAGGTTCAATATTAAGGTAGCAGATGGACATGGGGCCTCTACTCAAGAACTCCCTCAACACAAGAACACTTTGTTCTTTTAACCTGGCATTCCATGATGCTCACCTTCCCAACATGAACACTGAAGACAAAGTGGGTGCGTAAGCAAATGTGGTGAAGAAAGCTGATGGTGTCTGGCTATCAAAAGATATAGTGTCTGGGGGTCTTAAAGGCTTGAAGATAAACAAGCGGCCATCTAACTCAGAAGCAACAAAGCCCACAGGGAAGAAGCAAACCAGACTGTGTGATCATGAGGTGCCGATGGGAGCAGGTATCAGACATCAAAAATGCAGACCAAAAAAATCATATCATTGTGAATGAGGGGGAGTGCAGTGTGGAGACCCAAAGCCCATCTGCAGGCAACTGGACATCCCCTTACAAAAGGGTCACAAGGAAGAGACAAGCCAGTCAGGGTGCATTATAGCACCAATGAAACATACAACTTTCCTCTAGTTCTTTAATGCTTTCTTCCCCCCACTATCATGACCCCGATTCTATTAGACTAGTGTATTAGTCTTGGTACTTTGGAGAAACAAATCCACAGCAACTCACGTATAAGAGAGAGTTTTATGCAAAGAAAATGTGCATCACGAAAACATCCC